TCTGGGGTCTCTCCCCAGCTGTGGGAGGGGAGTCGGGTCTAGTGGGTAGAGCAGGGGAGCCGGGAGCCAGGCCTTCTGGGGTCTCTCCCCAGCTGTGGGAGGGGAGTCGGGTCTAGTGGGTAGAGCAGGGGAGCCGGGAGCCAGGCCTTCTGGGGTCTCTCCCCAGCTGTGGGAGGGGAGTCGGGTCTAGTGGGTAGAGCAGGGGAGCCGGGAGCCAGGCCTTCTGGGGTCTCTCCCCAGCTGTGGGAGGGGAGTCGGGTCTAGTGGGTAGAGCAGGGGAGCCGGGAGCCAGGCCTTCTGGGGTCTCTCCCCAGCTGTGGGAGGGGAGTCGGGTCTAGTGGGTAGAGCAGGGGAGCCGGGAGCCAGGCCTTCCGAGTTCTCTCCCCAGCTGTGGGAGGGGAGTCGGGTCTAGTGGGTAGAGCAGGGGACCTGGGTTCTGTCCCCAGCTGTGGGAGGGGAGTGGGGGCTAGTGGTTAGAGCAGGGAGGGGGCAGGTGCTGGGAGCCAGGACTCCCAAGTTCTCTCCCCAGCTGTGGGAGGGGAGTGGGGGCTAGTGGTTAGAGCAGGGAGGGGGCAGGTGCTGGGAGCCAGGACTCCCAAGTTCTCTCCCCAGCTGTGGGAGGGGAGTGGGGGCTAGTGGTTAGAGCAGGGAGGGGGCAGGTGCTGGGAGCCAGGACTCCCAAGTTCTCTCCCCAGCTGTGGGAGGGGAGTGGGGGCTAGTGGTTAGAGCAGGGAGGGGGCAGGTGCTGGGAGCCAGGACTCCTGGGTTCACTCTGCCTGACTTACTGTATGATTTCAGGCCAGTCACTTCATCTCTGCTTTTCCCCAGCCCCAGTCTGCCTCCTTGGCATTGCTCGGGCTGAAGACATGGGGGTGCTGGGGCAGGGGGCAGTGCCCCATTGGCTCTACTGAAAGTGGCCCCGGCCCCGTGAGGGGAGTATCTGCTACCAGACAGCAGGGGTGCCAGCGGCACAGGCTGCCCTGCAGGACCCTGCCAGGGCCAGCTCCCTGTTGACAGCCCAAGTGGGTAAATTGGAGTGCGATTGTGTCACGTTATTGGATTGTAAAGGGCGCAGGCAGGGCGCTGCTGCACCCACGGGTGGTGCTTGCCCAAAGGGGCCAAGCGAGGTGTCAAATGGAAGCGCATGCTCTACTGATGGTGTGTGCGCTGCTCACGTGCTTAGACGATGTCTGGATGTGGCATTATGGATACGGGCTCTGGGAACGTTCTGTCAGGGAGGGAGCCCTGGGCCTGGACGGCCTATTGCGAGGAAGGAATGATCGGTGACTGGCTGTGTTAATTAGCATTGCTGAGGGACAAGGCTCTCGGAGCAGCCAGTGCACACCTGAGGGATGTGTCTGCAAACCTGCAGACTGGCCAGTACCTCATGGCTATTTGCGTGTGAAACAGCCAGGCCCCTTAAGCATATGACCAGCTCCAGTCTGGGACACACCAGACATAAAAAGATGCCAGGAGGCTGTCCCCAATCTTGCTACCGATCCCAGATGCAGCCTTGCTCAGGACAGCGAGCGGGACAGCTTAGCGCCCCATAGGATGTATCAGACTTCGAAGCTAGCAGTTTGTAACATCTCTGCTGAGAGCCTGCATCAAGACCTTGGTGACTGGTGCATGGGATGTATCCTCCTTAACAACTTCACTCTCAACCTTTTCTTTCGTTAATAAACCTCTAGGCTACGTCTACATTGCCAGGTCTTGCGCACGAACATATGCGAATGAGGCACAGCAATGAATATTGCCGTGCTTCATTTGCATACTTAACGAGCTGCCATTTTTGCACAAGGAGCCGTCTACATGGCTCCTTCTTGTGCAAAACCCCCCTCTTGCGCAAGAGCTGTTCTGCTGCTTATTTCCAGATAGAACAGCTCTTGCAAGAGGGAGTTTTTGCAGAAGGGAGCAAGGTAGACTGCTCCTTGTGCAAAAATGGCAGCTCATTAAATATGCTAATGAGGCACAGCGATATTCATCAGAGCCCCATTTGCATATGTTCTTGTGCAACACTGGGCAATGTAGACATAGCCTTAGATGTTAGATTGTAAAGGATTGGCCCAGCGCGCTCTTGTGGGTAAGATCCAGAGTGTAAACCGACCGGGAACTGTGGCTGGTTCTTCGGGACCGGAAGAACCCGTTCGGGGTAGGTGAGATTGGGTTCTAGAACCCCTCACCTGTGTGCAGGCCCGGGGCTGATTGTGGCACAGGGAGAGCTGGGGTGTCTCGGGTTCTGCTCGTGAGGCTTCCTGCTGGCAGATTGGAAGCTGGAGCGCTCGGTGTGACTGGTGCGTGGCCTATGGGAAAGGTCTCCAGTCAAGGGCTGTCAGTAGCCCTGGTTTTCAGCAATTTGCCCTGAGCTGACGCCCGGTCTGTCTCAGATTGTTCAGCTAGTTTTGCACCTCCCATACAGTAATTTCATGTAGACCACATCGGCTTAATTTGCTTAAGCGACTGTCATATGCCTTACGGCAAAAGTAGCACTAAAAATCAACATATTTTTACAACTGCCTCTGTCCCTTAGCCCACCAGCCTGCCAAAGGAAAGGGGTCTGACTCGTTCTTGACAAGACCCTGTGGGGCTGGTACTGGTTCCCTGCCAGGGGCCTGCTTAATCATTTGACTCAGTATCTTTGCAGCTGTAACCATTAGCCTGACTGTTCAATGGGTCTCTGGGCCCTTTTTAAAAGGCAGGGGCTAGGTTTGTCCTTCCCTAGCCATCTAGCATCATCCCTTCTCCACGAGAGCTCGGAGGAAACTGCCAGGTGGCTTCAGCACAGCCCCAGTAACGTGACCCAGGCTGAGGAGCGGGTCATAATTAACCATCAGTGAAGACTGAAACTAACTAGACATTAGGCACCTCCCTCAGCCTGCCTGATTCCCTCCCTTCCCACCCAAACACAGGGCCTGCAGCAGTGAGGGGGGACCACACATCACCCTTCTCTTTACCTCGGACCCACCAGTGTGCTGTAGCTCCAGCCTACACCAGCGCCTCCACTTTCCCCTGATCTTCCAGCCCTGTTAGCCCTCCGGCTCGTTAGTGCCGGCCAAGTCTTAATTCAGACACTGGCCCAAGTCGTCCAGTTCCTCCTGTGCTCAGCTCAGCATTGGGGGCCGGGGCTCTACTTATGCAGGGACTTGCCGGAGGAGAAAAGGCAAAGGATCCATCCCCACAGCAAGGCCGGTTGGGGATGCAGAGGACAACAGGAGTAGGGAAAAGATCGGGGATGGGTGAGGGGCAGAGGGGGACAGCAGCAAGTCCACCACTGACACGGGTCTGGGTGCTGGGCAGGGGCTGGTTCCCAGCTGCTGCTGCGAGCTCCAGGGAGCAGAGATGCCAGGAGCCCCACACAGGCTGGGAG